GGGGTGACCATATACTATCGAATGTTCCTCACCTAATATTAAGTAGTTATGAACCTCTATAGACCACCCTCCTTCTTGATTTGTCCTATTTTTGAAATTGCCTATACTAGTAAGGTTTTATTATAGCCTCTAATATACCTATAGCCACCTCTTTGTGCTAATATAAACATAAAATACAAGAATCCGTAGTGGCTTAGGTTTGCTAGGGATTTAAATAGCTCGATTCTCTATATAGGAGAAACTAAGTACATCAGTAATATTGTGAATACACCTAGGAATTATTTGCGTCTCTAACACTACGCCGGGTTTTTAGATTTAGATTGGCTCCGTTTATTCTGTCTTGCCTTAATATAATTAAACCGACTCTGGTTTTCGATCGCTATATCTATACTAGTAGATAGTGAGATAATCGCATTTCTATATTCTGATAATATCAGTCCCGAAAAGCAGTATAGATAAATATTAGGTATAGAATTATAGTTATTAGGCGCCCCTTGACCATTTAGCTTAGTAGTTCTAGGGACCTAGTATTCGAGACTTACTAAATATAAGGGCTAGTATCGGCTTAAGTCGGCTTATAGTATTAATCATCGATATATGTTGTCTAGGATAGGTCAAAATAAGAGCTGTAGTACTATAGTCAATATGGCATAGCTATAGTATACTTAGTAGAAATATTTTAAGTGGGCGATGGCTTAGACCCTAAAAATCCGTCATCAACAAGTAAGGCGACTTACTTAAAACATAGCATGATCGTCGGCCTCTATTTTAGATCAATAGCTAATACTAAAGTTCAGAGGGTGATGATAAAAAGGCATATTATTATAATTAGGCGATGATCGCTACCTATTATTGAAAGTACGGCTGTTAAGACAAGGTTGAATATTAATCAATACTCTTTAAAATAAATAATAACTAAATATGAAATATTTTTTTTCTAATAATTTACTATTATTTTCAGATTTTAGTGAATTACTTAAGGGCATCTACCCTTAAGATGACTATTCATTTTTCACCGGCCTATATTTGGATTTCGCCTAGCTAGTTACCTTAGTAAGTCGAGGTTTAATAGGCCTGATTTTATATAGGCAACTTCGATGCCCCTAAAAAGTGATAGACCATAAAGACTTCACCGCGGTAATATAAAGTAGGTGGTAACAAGACTAGTTAAGAGACCTATAAATATGGCCTCCTCCCTTAGTTCTCGGTCGAAATAATTCTCTTCCTATTATATCTAAAGGGCTCCCTTAAGCTAAAACCAAAGTGCCCTGCTATAGCGGATGATAGGTCACTTCTCCTTAACCCTTAGTATTCGCTATGACTAATATCCTTGGTATATATAGAAGCCACCGAGTCACCTAGCCCCCTCTACCCACTAGTGGTTCACTCTACTATATCCGTCTTCGTGACTATGGGCTAGAGCCTAAGCCTTAACTAGCGAGAATCCTTTAGTGAGTGCTCTATCTATATGCCTTATCGAGTAGAGCTAATAACATGACTTCTGACTAGTTTGTTGATCATAAGAGTATAAGTAAGGCGGCCTATAGGTAAGTTCCCTATTAGCCCTATACTATCGGATAGTGCTAAAACAACGAACATAACGACTAGCCAGGTTATATCAATAGGACGGATCTAAGTTATAAGCCCGGACTTTGGTTCTCTACTAATAAGTGCTTATCAAACAATGCCTTTAGCAATCATCATCTAGCGAGACCTCCGAGCATAGAAAACCGCCATCCTCGAGCCTTTCCCTTATATATATCGCCGTTATTTTGAATGGTTCGGTGTTCTGATTATACCTTAAGCTAGCTACTTATATATTTTATCGCCGCTACTAGTCTTATATAGCTAGATATTCGTTAAAAAAAAGGTACGCCTGCCTAGTACTTCTGCTTAATTACTACCTATTCATCGTCTACCATAGTCTTGGCCGGAAGATAGACGGACCAAACTAACCTTATAACCTCGTGAAACTATAAGACGGAAGATATGTTAGGTCGGTTCGGAGTTAAGACTTATTTCTATAAAACGACTCTTTCACGTCCTAGTAGTATCGTCGGTCGTAGGTATAGGATAAGATTAGATAAAAAGATCGTGAGTGAACCCTTATTATTAGATATATACTAACTATCTTATAGGGCTACTAGCTAAGACGCTAGAAGATATGACGTTTAATAAGCCTCGCGTGTGTCTTATATCGTGCCACCCTAGCCATAAAGCAATATATATTCCTTTAGAAACGGTTTCGAAGGTCGACGTGATCTAAATCGCCCAATCACTCTAGTCTTTCGCCTTACCTACTAGTACCGACTAAGAACACTAGCATCTACTCTATATTATCGGAAAGCTGAATCAGCTATATAACCAATATAACGACTGATAACGCGCGATACCTACTAAGGTGATCAAAAGTCAGTCTGATAAGCTTAGGTATCGAGGGAAGAGTCTAGCTTCCACGCCTATAGATGGTATAAGTAAGAAGGATGCTGAAGGCCGATTCGATAATACTTAGATTTTGCTTTCTAGGGATAGACGTCGATCGCCATAGACTAGTCCAAAAGATGGCTATAAAACATTGAGATCTACTATAGGGCTTATCGCTTTCGGGGGTCGCTTTCTATACTTTCCTCTACCCCTATTAAATCTAGTAGAAGCCTTTATTACTAGAGATAGGATAGAGTCATCGCTCTTAACAATAGTAACCTCGAAGATATATACACTATCCTATAATAACAGATCGTAGGTATATCGTTCATCCCGTTCTATAGGACCAGCAATAGCGCCAACTCCCTATAGTTAGGCGATAAATGAATAAAGCGACCCTTAGTCAACTTCTGAGATAAAATGCTTTACGTCATAATCGCCTAAGTATTACGTCTATCCTGCCTCTAACAACTATATAGGATATCTCCTTCGATAGCTTGCCAGTTTTCCGCCTCTATAGCGCATTAAATATCTTTAACCACTATATATATGTTGCCATTCATGACTAATGCTACCATTAGGCAAAAACATCATTAGAACCCTCTTCTATGGTGTACTAGAATCAGTAGTAGCAAATTCGTTGACACGGCGCTTATCACCGCCGCTGGTGAGATAGGAATGCTGCGTCTTCGAGCCTATAGCTTAAGCATTATATATTTATAAAAGGCTCCCTTCTGCTTTTATAGGACCCTGCCTAAGATAAGTTCCTCGCCTTTAGTCTTTGGTGCTGATGCTTATTACTCACTAATACGAATCATATACCTCTATATGGATGAAGTTATCTAGCTCCGTTGCCTATTAGTGTTTCGATATTACTTATATCTATTAGCTAGGGTCAAAGTCATAAGTCCTAACCATATCACTATATCCCCTACGTCAACACCTATAAGCTTAGCTACTAAGCCAACCAAATGTTGCGTCTCTTTCTCACCAGGATAATATAAGCGATTCTTCCTTTATAGCTAGGTCCTGGCCAGCTAAATATAATTAAAAACTACGCTAAACACCGCACTTACGACCAGCCTAATCCATTAACCACCTTAGGTCAATCCTATAGGGATGGTCCGACTATCAGCCCGATACCTAGAAAGGTAAGTCAGAATTCATTTCCTAATCTAGTTACTAATACCATGCCTAGTAGGATATGCCTTTAGGCACACGCTAAGCGCCGGGTTTCAGACTATAATAGACTGCTACCTTATAGCCTATCTTGTTTCAACGTATACACCATTAATATTTCGCGAGATTTAAGAATTGAATTAGTATGCCGAACAAGTCTATAAACACCCTCCGCTATAGATAATAAGCTATCGTAGTATACTATATATACTAAAGAGTTATACAGTCGAAGACAAAAGATTATAAGTGAGCCCTATATCGACGGATATATACTAACATCTTCTAAAGGATGACTTATTAAGTACGGTACATCTCGATGGCATAAGATATAAACACTTAAAGTAATCTAACAACCTCTCTATCATCCTATAAACACCCTAAACCGATATAGAAGAGTAGTATTAGACAAGGATGCTTAGTATTAGACTACTCCGAGATAGGCGTGACTATAGGACGCTCGTTCCGGTAATCTCCTAGATGGTCTAGGTAGTGCGGCCAACCTATTATAGCGAGAAGATAGGCCCCCTAGTTAAGCATCCTATATGATAGGTATATCCTCTCGATATTAGTATACGCGCTTAAAAGCATAAGATCGACTACCAAGAAATGGTAATTCACTAGGCGCCTTAACATCAAATTCTGATACCAAGTATCACTAGTAATGGCTAGGTGGACGATGTTAGCTTTATAGCTAAAGGCGATAGCGAACGCGAGACCATCAGGAAACTTAGAGTGGCATACTATAAATCCGATCAATAGGCCGAGAAATATGCATCCGTCTTTAACCCGAAGAAATACGCACTTATATACTTTATGAATACTAAAGAAGTCGACCCAGAATACACATCCCTGACTCTATAAGGATATACCATAACAGCGACAAGGACGGCCGAGCGATACCTAGGCTACTAGCTAGATCCGGGTCTAGAATTCCACCATCACCGCGAGAAAGCTATGGCCAAGGCGAGCGTCTCCCTCTAAGCACTCCGAAGCTTGGCGGGGTCAACATAGGGAGCCTCGCTCTATATAATATAAAGGATCTACTAAGCGGTCATCATTCCATAGATACTCTTTAGCGTCTCTATATAGTACCAACCTATGCTCATTAGCAAGTCTAGAGCAAGAAAAATATATTACCCTTTCGTGGCAATTCAAAAGCAGGCAGCATGCCTTATGAGTAGGGCTTTCAGGATAACGGCAGCAGAAGCTTTAAATATAGAGCTTTACCTACTGCCTATCTCGATCCAAATAAACCGATTAGTCTAAGAAACAGTACTTAGACTATAAATAGGTCCTGTTTTCGCTATCCCGCCAACGATGCTTCGACGCCGACCGGCAGGCGAGAGAGACTGGTCTAGATGGTCACCTATAGAGGCGTAAGCCTAGAAGTCAGGCAGATGTCTAACAACTTCCCCGACGGCTTTGACGAGAAACTAGGAGAGTCGAAAGGTATTTATTCTAGCGCCCTAGCAAGCACCACTAGATATAATAGTCGAAGACCGAGACGCTGCTATATAAAGTCATGGCCAGATCCTTAGGAAAGCCCTATAAGAGAGACCCCTGATTATATATACTAATAGGAGCGGAATCGAGAGTAAAGTAGGAGCAGCAGCAGTAGATAAGACCGGGGAACATATCGCTCTAAGCCAGATAGGCGATAACGACTTATCTACTATATATTCTATAGAGCTACGGGCCATAGAGATAGCTCTTAAATTAGTTCTTAATAGTAACAAGCTCTATCTTATATAGGTAAAGAACGGTCTAGTTATATTTACGGATAGCTAAGCAGCACTAAAAGCGCTCCGACGGCCGTGTATACCCTCTAGTCAAGTTTATCTTATAGGATGCCTAGGCCTAATCCGCTAATTAGCGGATAGGGGCATTCGAACAGAACTCAGATGGATCCCGGCTCACTAAGGTATAGTAGGTAATAAGATTGTGGATAGATATACTAAAGAAGCTATATAGGGACCCGAAGAACCACTGAATTATCTTAATTAGTATATCTGCCTCGCAGCTATAGCTAAACAATGGTTGCGCCGAGAAGCGAAAATCGAGTGGGAGAGGGCATAGGCGCTAGAAAAGACTAGTCGGCCGACCAGGCGACTGATCGAAGTACCAATAAAGAAGACACTCAAATATTGGTTTAGGCTTCGTAAAGCAACTACCTTAATCCTAATACAGCTATATATAGGACGAATTAGACTAGGCGCCTATCTCGCTTATATCAACTAACGAGAGTCGGCATAGTGTGACTACGAACTAGGTAACTAGATAGTGGCTCATATTCTACTAGAGTACCTACTCTATTAAGCGGAGCGGGACTAGATATAGCGCGCCCTATCAAGGCAAGGAATCGTTGTTCGTCGAGACGAACTTCTGATATACCTAGAAGCGTATATTACCATTGCCGACTTCATGGTTAAAACAGGGGCTCTAAGCCAGTTCTAAGTAGTGGATCTAATTACTCTAGGTATAGAAGAAGTAGTGAAAGAATAACCCCCGAGGATAGTGTGATAGAAGGAGAATAATGGTGCCTATTAGGTATATAGTGCTAGGTCTACTACACTCCCTTAAGTTAAACGAGTATATAAGCGGCTGCCGATAGCTAAGAAGGGTGATAGAGATTATAGGAGTAAGTTTAGGATAGGTGGTGAAGGTTAAAGGTAGAGTAGGGCCCTCGTGAAGGTAGTAAGTACCAGGAACATTTATTTTAATATAGTGTAAGTAATTAAACACTTAAACCTCTGCTTTCCTTTATTGATTTGTTATTCTGTTTTTATATTCGATGGGACCAGCGAGAAGCTCGGACTATAAGCTTCTTAAGGTCACCAATAGGCTGGTCACCACTTTTAAGCTGCCGGCAGGCCCGACAGCACTCCTATATAGCAGCATATATATAAAGCGAGCTATATCAGGTAAATAAATTCATCATCATCATCATTATTATCTTCTAAATCTAAAGCGATGAAATCACGGTTGTTACTTATCTCCGAGGGTACTATAGAGGATTTCTCGGAAAGGACAGAATAGGTGTCTATGCTCTCTAACTCCTAATTCAAAAGAACATTTTTAGGGCTGGTTATAATAGCTGATAAAACAATAATCTTAAAGGAATTAGCTAGGGTGTTAATGCTGAAAGGATAACTAGAATTGATAGGTCTTTATAAAGCTTTATACAGCCCGGTATCTAGAAAGAATATCTTTTAAGGGAGTTAAATTATACAAATAGGAATTTTGAGTAAAGACCTTATATTTATTATATCTTTATTAAGTAGTATTTCAAATTCTTAATAGGCTAGAGTCTTAAGTTATCGAATATGAAGTGGAGTCCTCCTTAATATCCTTACTATCTTCATCTTTACTATATTCAACACCTTGACTAAAATAAGTGATGCTTCGGTTTTCAAATTATTAAGCGGGGTTTTATTATATTACGTGTTATATATATAGGCCCATAGATATATATATTCTATATTCTAAATATATACACGTTATTCTAGCCCTTATAATCATCTAAGTGGCTAGGATATACCATATTCTCTTTAAGAAAAGGATTATATCTCTAAATTTAATAATAATAATAGAAAAAGAAAAGCGATTATGGTGGTAAGAGAAGGCCCCCAGGATTAGCTAAATAAAATAAATAGACCAAGTAAATACTTCTCGTATAATTTTATGATTAGCTATATATTCTACTTTCACTTCGCCTAGAATAACGATACCTTTTAATAAGTACTCTAGTAATCATAAAAGGCTGCCACTATTACTAGGATCGTATATCTCGATTCTTATTCTTAACTATGGCCTTCGGTAACGCAACTTGCCTATCGTGAGATAATTCTATCCTTTATAAAGGACTAATGGTCCTAAGGACTAAACCATATTGCCTTTTCATTTATTTATTCACTAGGGGCCCTATATCCTAAAACTAGCTAATTAAGTTATTCGTTCCACCTCGGAACTAGCAGATTTCTTGAACATAAGATATAGAATAGAAGGTAGATATAGTCGAGATTTTTAATTAGACCTTAGATTTAATTATCTAAAAGATAGTCGTGCTTTATAGGATAGGATAATAGCTTTAGGTGGCCTTTAGTATTTTATAGTATCATAATATATAGTTATTATTAATAACTAATTAATATAATACTAATATAATATCGTTTCTACCGGCACTAAGGAAGATATAGATAAACTAGGCAGAAACATACTAAGTAATTTTCTGCCGTATTAATTCTCGGACATGGAATCTAGACTACTAGCAGAATAATAAAGGGTAGAATTCTGCCGGAATGATAGATTAAATAAAGGATAGTTCTGTTGTTCTACCATTTAAATTAGCAAGTATTATTGCCTTAGGCTTTAAGCTAGTCTATAGTAGTGCACAACACCTTCTATATAGATAGGTATTAGTAGATAATATAGCGAGTATTTAATAATTATATAAACTATATACTTTTTTGATTATATATAGTTAGAAATTCAAGAGCATAGCGTATAAAGACTAGTAATAATATCTAGAATAGACCTCCGCTATCATAGGGCGGGTAGGTGAATAGAATTATACTAGAACTAGATAGATAGTATTATATTAACTAGTAGGCTAAGACGAAGATATAGCTTAAAAAGCTATATTTAGACAAGGTTCTGAGTTTATATAAGGTTATTAAATAGAGGTCGACTACCAAGGAATAGTGGATTCTAGTAGGCAAATAAGAACATAGTATATATACTAAAGTATATATATATATCTATTATAGAATAGAGGAATCCTATTATAGGATTCTAATGCTGACTAAAATAGACTAACTATAAATGGAATCGGGCCTTTGACACACCCCTTTAGTTTTCACCCCTCCAAGGTATAAACTAGCCTTAAATATAGGGCCGATTTAGGCTGTTGAATCGCCTTAATTCCCTCTAAAAACGTAGTCTATATCCTGATTTAGGTAGTTAATACTCTAAATCCTCTAAATCTAGGGGTAAGACCCTAGATTAGAGCAGTTCACTTATATCTTCTAAATTGAGAAGACGAATCCAGGCGTTAAATCTCTGTTTTGGCAAGATTTTCGTGAAGCCATCTACCACCATAAGCTTTGTTAGGACCCATCTGATCTTAATACGTCCTTCCTATACCTCCTGGTGTAGCTAGCTGCGGTGTATATCTATATAATATAGCTTAGTCTTAAATACTCCCTCTTTAGTAAGCAGATCAACTATTCTCTGGTTGTCGTAGTCGAGAGTTATATTATTATATTCTATTTCTAGTCTAATATAGACTAGTACTCTCTTCCACCATACCAGTGTTTTAGCTACGTCCGATAAACCAAGCAATTCTGCTTCGGTAGTAGACGTCGTCACCGTCTTTTGTTTAGACGCCTTCTAATCTATAGGGCCGCCGAAGAGTATATATATCATGCCTATAGAGCTCTTATAGTCTTTATAGTTACTATAAGATGCGTCACTAGCGATGGTTAGTACCGATGTACCTATAGATTAGTAGGTTACATCGTTAATCTGATCCTTATTTCGGCTGAAATCAGGGTTAGAGGTATTATCAGAATAGTATCCTAAACCATATCTAAGTGCTCTATTCTTAGTATAGAATAGATAAGTGATTGTCCTATCTACTATAGCAGAATGCTGCGGACCTAGGTTCTATAGGAATTAGGCTAGTTTAGTAGCTAGTTTAGCTACATCAGGCCTGGTTATAGTAGCTGTATACTATATTAAACCAATCTTTTCCTAGTAGAGTTTGATCGCATCAGGCGACGTAGTTCCTTCATAAGGTAAGAGTTCTTTAATTAGCATTAGTATAGCTACTAATAGTCGGTTATTTAGGCCGAAATAGGCAGCCATACTATCAATATAGCTATCCTAGCATAGCTAGAGCTTACATTATTTATGATCGCGTATAATATATATGTTTAGGAACCACTTTATGTCGCCGTGATCAGTTAGTTCCTATACTTTTTCGAGTTCTAATTCAAGCTGCCTTATGTATTAAGCTTTTATCTTATAGCTAGCAATCAGGAAGTTATCAACATAGAAGAATATTATGACTCCGTCGCCTATAAAGACATATAGATCCTCTAGTAACTATATAAGACCTAGGCCTAACAGGACTCTAGAGGCCTCCTTCTACCAGAGCTTTAGTGAGACGCGTAATCCGTATAGTGCTTTATAGAGGTGCCAAACTTAGCCATTAGTACTCCTAAAGCCAGAGGGAAGCTCTATATAAACCTCCTTATCTTTAAGGAAGCTGTTCAGGAAAGCTGCGACAATATCTCTTTAACATATATCTAGATCGAATATAGCTATTATTACGAATAGCATATATATAGTTTTGATAGCTAGTATAGCTAAACATTTCTCTTTAATAGATATCCACTCTATATCTCTGCGTACATAGATATAAGCTTTATACTTCAGGAGTAAACCATTCTCATCAAACTTATAAGCATATACCTATTTTAAGGGTAGAATCTACTTTGATCTATTGTTTGGCCTTAGGACGACTAAGAATATATGCTTTTTAATAAGACTATCGATCTCCTTTTATATTATAGTATTAAATGCATCTTTAAACATATGCCCTTTTACCTCCTTGAATATGTTCGGAGGTGGTGGAAGGTCGTCTCTATATATCTAGCTCGCTGGTTTCTATACCATTCTGGTGTAGAATATATGGTAATAAGCTTTAGATTATGTCTTAAGCTTATCTAGATCCTTATCTAGCCGTAGCATAAGCTATATAAAGTAGGTATCATCTCTCTTGGTTAGATGGCGAATACGTTTACCAGGGATAATGTTCGACTTGTCTAAGTCTAGACCAATCTATCAGAATTATGGTTCACTATCTTAAGCAGTAAACAGGGGCGAATCCCCTTTAGTTAGCTCTATAGGAGCCACCCCCACCCCTTGATTTAGCACTAAGTCTAGCGAATCTAGTAAATTCGGTGTGTCATTAGTTATATCAGGCTCAATTAGGTCTTCTAGGAATATCCTAGGAATCCAGTCATGTTCTATTAGTATAGGGTATCGTGGTGTATTTAGCCTAGTATTTCGGCCGAAAAATAGGTTTTCGGTATTATTGGATACACCAGACTAGTTGCTTTTTCTAGTAAATATATCAGGTTGTTGAACTAATCAAGCATCGAGAGAGAGGATAGGACTATTAGTATCCTGATCAGATAGATATAAATGGTCAACTACTTATGTTTCAGGTAACA